ACTCCACTAGATACAGGCCTCCAACTACATCACCAGTAATAGAAACAACAATCAATGAGATCTTAAATTCTTCTGTTACTTTATCTATAGCACAACTCCTTACACTAGATCATTATTCTCAAGGTGTGAGTGCTATTATAGTCAGTTGACTCAGCATTTTAATCACTATAACTTTCCAAAAGCAAAACGCTGAAAGTACAAGAGACTTGGTACCAAGATTCAATATAACATCAGATCATCTTTTATTAATTTACTGATTTCTGTGACCTCGAGTTGCAAACTTTGCTACCAGTTGCCTTTCAAAAAGCAATAGTTTGGTATAAGACACAGGAAATGCATGTCTAGACAAGAAACCTAAATAATCAAGTTCTTGTACCTACCTGATTTCCATGAAGATCTAAAACATCAAGATTTTTTAGGTTCTCCAGATTTGAGATCTTCTTTATTCTGAAATATTTTAATTATGACATAAATTATTTTTCGTATTAGATAAAAAGTATCTTTCATTTTCCAGATAATACAAAGCTTGCCATTTGTTCCTGCCTACCAAGAGTAACGGAATAACAAAGCTCTGAATCATATTTAAAAAAAAAAAAAGGAACAAACAAATGAGTATGCCTTAGACAGTCAGAAAGGAAGGTGATAGTCCACAATATGATAGCAGCAGTATGTACATGGTTCTTCTAGGAATATGAAAAGGGAAGGAATATTTGCACCGCTAAAAAACAAAGTCAACAACCAACCTAACCAAATACCTAAATAACAAAAAAACAACATTATTGCTTGCAAGCAGCTAATTCCAAATCAGTTTTAAGAAAGACTATAGCAATACAGGCTGTTGAGAGTTTGTTAGAATAACACAGAATAAAAAACACCTGAAAGCCACTGGCCCTTTCTAGATAATACAGATCTCCAGATTTGGCAGCATTTCTTCTCCCACTGTACAACTTCAATGTCTTAAAACTTTGTCCTGTCCTGTTTTCTCAGATTCTGAACCTAGGTTATTATATACTCAGCAGCATCATCTACTGGCTGATGATATTAAACAATGTATATATTTGCTTCAAGAATAATCAAAGATCACATATAGATCAAGCTGAAAACAAGTTACTAGCAACTGTGCCTGATTTAGAACAATTTATGAGTATGTGTTGTCCTAACTGCCTCCAAACCATACTTCTACATAAACAAACTATACATCACTTCATGTAGTTACAGTTTGGAAAATAATTCCTTAAAGCACCTTAAAATTATCATTCCCATGCCCCAATATTTTGCTATGAACAAAATTAATCTCTACAGGTGAGGTTGTTAACGTAGAAGCTCTAAACTCTAGTAACACGCTGCACTACTGAAAGTTGACAGTTTCGAATACAGGCTGAACAACGATGCACATTCTTTGTAATCTGCACATAACTGAAGTTTGTTTACCAGTTCTTCCTTTACTGAATATAAAGAAAATAAGGAAACTAAACTAAATCAGAGCACAACCCTTAGATGCGTAAGAGATTCCACAGATACCTCTATTAAGTTACTAGAATTAAAGGCTATAGGATTTGAACTGTATTTTTAGAAAGTAATACAACTAGCAAGTTATACATTCCCTTCTGTTGGGAGATACAAGTAAGCAATACAATCCACGATCCACCTGTCTGATTTTTTCCCAGCTAAATACATCAGGCAGAAATACTTTTCCTAGGTTATACAGAATCAATATTTTACATGATGTGAAAAGATTCTACCTGTCACATAAATCTAAGAACACATATTTAATGGCCGATCAGAACAGATTAGACAGAAACACAAACTACTTCAGAGCTGTTGCTAAAACTTACAGAAGAAAGGAATTTTCTGAATAACACTACAACTAAAAACTGTGTGCTTCCTCAGTGGGATCCCCAACACCTAGCTAGTGTTAGGTTCCAACTCACTGGTCTCACAGCCAACATCATAATCTGAAAACTCTACAAGTAACAGAAACACTGATAGACCACAGTTGTTACACCATAGAAGTGGTAAGGTGCTTTAAATCCGTTTTATTATTTTTACCTGTTCTTTCCCAACAAAAGGACTCTTAGGGATCTCAGAGTTGAAAGCCCACTTATTTCCTCTATCTGATTATCATATAAATCTAAGAAAACAAGATGCTGCAGATTAGAAATATTTTGGATCCGGGTTATAAAGTTATGTTGGAAATTCAAAAGACGAAGATGATCTTCCCCATCAATAATTGGGCACACTGTCAGTTTTTGCCTGGAAGGAAAAAGAAACAAAAAACACACGTAAGTAACAAATTGGTCATCCACCTACTACTCACCTACTCTGACTGAGCCAATGAAGTATACTATCTTGATTAAGGTAATATTAAAGAAACTAGGCTTGCTAATTAAACGCTGTAAATAAGGCAGTAATTCCTTACTATAAAAAATTAGCATGAAAATACAGCAGAACTGCTTCCAAAATTCTCAGAAAGACTGTCCTCTTAATCAGAGATTTGCTTGTTACGTGGAAACTACATTGAAGTTTCATGTTGTGACCACATTAAAATTTCAGAGGCAGCCTCCCAATTTTTTTTTTCATCAAATACCAAATGAACAGCTTGTTCAGATCAGAATTCAAAGCATTCTATGTCTATGCCATTTTTCTTTGGTTTACAGAACTTTACATTTGAAATATAAATATATTAAATAGTAAGTGTTAATGTGAAAAGGACAAATGTATAGGAAATCATGCTGAAAATGGTTACTCTTACTTTAGGATTATTCCAGAAGAAATCATACTGGCCTGACAAAACTTTTCGGATTACATGAACCTTACTCCCACAAAAAAACCCCAAACAAACTACCCAAACAAAAAAAACCCAACACACCACCAACCAAAACACCCCACAAAACCACCCTACAATTAAATGTCTTTTAGATAAAACCTTTTTGTGTGTCTTGGTTAAGAAAAAAAAAGACCATTCTACAGTCAATGCATCAGATTAGAACGAAGGGAGACGTAGCCTCTTTTTATAGATTACTGCATGACCTTGCATTCGACTCTCAAGGTTTACAATGAAAAGTCCTAACCACCTTACATGACCGCTGTATGGATACTCTCATCACAAGGACACTCATGGAGAATTTATCTATGGGACACAGTTCTTCTCTCAAAAACACACACACACACACAATACAGAAAAAACAACAAAACCAAACCAACCACTCATACCATTGACCACAGGCATTACTACGATACTCATCACTTTAGACCATCAGACGCAAGAGTTGCAAGCCCTGGTGTGCGTACTCCATAAGCATCTCACCTTTCCAAAGTAAGTCTATCAGAGTTCAGAATTTTTTCTTCAGCAGTACGTTGCAATACAGGAAATGTTATTGATGAACTGCTCCCAAAATTTGTGCTATCTAGCAGAAAATCATACAGAGAATATATGAACTACCTCTTTGTAAAATAATTTCATTAACTACAGATTATAAAAGCAGAATTTTCATTCTTATTAAAAGGAGTTACACAGTATATGAAATTTCTCTCTTCAGTACTTTATCAGTTTTCTCTCCTGACATTTTCACAGGATTTTCACATCCTCTTTTCAAAGTACATCCATTTGTTTTGTTTCTGAGAGATAAATTTTAACAATTTGTTGTAAGCAGGTATTTTTTAGATGCTTTTATTTTGATTAGAAATATCCAATGATGTTTTAAGGTAAGGTTGTATAACTGTTTCACAGTTTCAGTATCTGAATTTAAAGAAGATATAATCTAATTTAAGATGAATTTAAAGACACAGGTCAAGTAGATGTTGATAGAACTAGAAACTAAAACACCAAAACATTGAAACAGTCCCACTGAGCCACAAACAAATGCAATGTCTTTTAAAAGTAAATGCATGCAGTATCCAGTAATCACTGTATTATATTTCACTTCATTGTCAAGAAGGAAACAGGCAGCCCTTTAAAACATATTTACAAAGCTATCCATCTTTACCCATTTTGTTAATATAAGGGGGAAGAGGGAGGATGACTAAAAATACCTGCAAAATAAATCAACAAATACCTTCTGCAAGCTTTGGCTTACTTTGAGAATGATCAACTATAAAACATTGGTCAAAAATAAATCATAGAATCATTTAGGTTGGAAAAGACCTTTAAGGTCACATAGTCCAATCACAAAATCATCATTATGCATACTGCCACAAGAATATAGGCTCAACTTCTGTGTGTTTGCCCCTTTTTTTTTATTTCCTTCAAATAAATCAAGTATGTTAACAGGAAAAACATTGATTCGTCAATAAACAAAGATTATTTGCTTTACTACTACAGAGAGTTCATTGTTGTCTAAAGTACGCTATTCAAATAGATATCTACGTAAAGTAAAACAATTTGTTGTTCAATTTAGAAACTTTTCAGTGCCACTCTCTAGCTTTTTATCACTAGCTACTGTAGCAAACCATTATAACAACCAACATTCTCTATGTATCCTTCAAAGGAAAAAAACTGAAGAAACAGAACAATCATTGATATCAAAAATAATCAGTTAATGTTGTTGCCAAAGTCGTTAGTTGTGTCTCCAGCATTTAAGCAATAAACATAAGACCAGAAACTTAAAAATCAGTCTCAAACATGACATGACGGCAGTACAGTGACTTTTTTCTTCTAAAGTCATCCTCCTAAAGACGTGTGTGAAGGCTGCCCTTGTGTTAAAGAAAGGTATATAAAAGGCCTATATTTAAAAGCCTATATTATATTTTTGAAAATATTTCTAGTGTTTTCCTGACAATGATCTATTAACCTCTCATAATACCTGAGGGGAACAGTAGGCAACACTTGCTATTCAGTCATATATTATGACAGTCAGAAAAAGCACATCTTACAGGTCATAACTTTTCAGTAAGACACAGAGTTTAAAAAAAAAAAAAAAGAGCACAACAAGTTTTCACTGTTACCTGAAGCATGTGAACTAATACTGTGGCTGCTTTGTCGGGATCTGGATTTTATAGGTGTGTGAATAGAAGACTCGCCAAATCCTGATAAAGAACCTGTATTCTGCTTCAACTCCAAACCAGAAAGCTCTGTCAGACTGGATGGTACTGGAAAATATATCTGCTTATTACGCACCAAAGGACTTAATACTCTTTGGTCTCCTGTGGGGAGAACAAAACCAACCTGCAGACTTAAATTTACCCCATAAAAAGTTGTATAATATTGCTAAAAATCAATCCATTCTGAAGAGCTGTTGGTCTTTATTTTTTACTAGAATGAATAAAAATTGCCATAATAATTAAACTGATTCCTGTCCTAATCACTGCTTTTATACGACAGGCAAGCAGCTACAGTGGAGCAAGAAGTCATGTATTTCAAGGCTCTTCCAGGCTTCACCAGTTAGCAGTGGTATCACCAAACACCTTGCTTTTCAAAGCCAAAAGCACATAAGCACAATAGGAAAACTCTCTCTTTGTACCAGGGTTCCAAATTAGAAACAAAGTTTGTCTAAATACGTTAAAATATTAAACATCCAATAAAATGTTACAGTAGGGAATTGTGTGGCTTCTGAGGGAATGTATAGCAGGGCACTTGATAGATTGTGGCTTTGTAGGCAGAAGAAAGGATGCTCTTCCATGGACAGAATGGGGAGCAAAACATGATCAAAAAAGCCATCTGCACCAGCCAGTAGAGGATAGGAGTTCTAGGACATGATGCAGCAGTAATTATATGGAATTACTGTAGCCAACTAGGAAAAGCTGTCACACTTTCATATTCTAATCATAATACAGTCTTTCTTCAGTGTTCACTTAATAAAAAGACATACAAAAGACAAAATACCAAACCCTATTGAATATCACCTTGCCTTCCTGAATAGTTTTTTTCCAGATCATGCTGCAGAAGTCTATTGTGGAAAGACGAGTGCTCTTTATTTATCCTGAATTCAAACTGTAACGCAATATTTAAGACAAATGTTAAAGTTTTCAAATGCAAGTAACATCTTTACACAGACAAACACAACCTTAGTAGCAATGGCAGTTCTCAGGAAACTCTGCAAATGCTTTTAAAAAAAATTAAATAACTGTGCCAATAAAATGAGTACTCATTCTGTTAGGATACTGTAACTGAAAAATTTCTGTGTTGGAAACCAAAATGAAAATATGGAAGTTACCAACACATTCATCTGCAGTTGACCAAATAAAGAAAAAAAAAAACCCACTTTATAAGGGGTACTGCAATTACAGGAAGAAAAGAGGTACAGATGGAAGCATAAGAAATCATCTATATATATAT